ATGAAGTTATTAAGTCTGTAAAATATTTTAGTAACTAATGACTATATTGGCATACCACGTTCTCCCCTGAGCACGCCATTAAAACTCTCAGAAGCGTTCGTAGTCATCATACAGAACCGTCTCCCGCCATCTTCACATAAAGCCCACTTATCAACATTGTGTGATCCCAAACTAGTTTCAATCCAATCATGTGCAGCTCGTGAAATAAACTTAATCCTCTTTCGTATTTGATCATAAACTAATTTTTCTGTTGCACAGCCGGCTTGCCAAAGAAGATCTTGAACCTGACCATCATAAACTAATTTTTCTGTTGCACAGCCGGCTTGCCAAAGAAGATCTTGAACCTGACCGTTTCCATACTTCTTCTTGAAGTTGTCCTTAATATGTCCCGGCTTGCCAAAGAAGATCTTGAACCTGACCGTTTCCATACTTCTTCTTGAAGTTGTCCTTAATATGTCACAACTCACATGTAATAACGATGTGTATGCGGTGACGGAAAATGACGTTAGAGTGCTCTTGGAATTCCTTTCATCCTATCAGATATGAATGTAATCAGCCTCGCCCCCACACTAAGGATATGATATCTAATGCATGCAAAATATCATGCCTAATTCTCTGTGTTTTCAACATCAACCACTGCAAACATCAAAGGAAATAACCCGCCATCTGCGTCAACTCTGGTTGCAACAAGCAAAATGCATTTGTACTTACCGTATAAGTGGGTGTCATCAATGCTAAGAAGAGAGCGATAATATTGAAAACCCTCAATATAAGGGCCAAATGCCCAAAATATATATGTGAACTGTTGTTTTTCGCCATCAACAGGGTCTGATGAAACTTCATAGACAGTCTCAGGATTTTCTCTTTTTAGTGCTTCAAGATAATGTGATAAGATCTCATAAGATTTGTCCAAATCCCCGGATATTTTTATCATCGCCTTCCTCCTAACAATCCAACACTTGTTGTATGATACATCTAAGTTGGTCGCTTTATGCATTAAAAGACGAATATCTTTCGGTCTTAGATCAAGATCCTCCCTTAGATGCAGTAAAATCAATCGATATATAAAAAAAGAGGACACATGCTTGTTATTCATCTCCAATCAAGGATTGCTACATGTGTGGAGTCCATAGTATGCCATGATTTTGAAATGCCCACCTACCTTATACCCGAACGTGAATTAAGCTTCCAAGGACATTTCACATTGTCGTTGTGGTGTCCATTATTATCTTCATCTTCACTATCTTTGTGATAAAAACAAATCACATTATAACTTGTGTTATTTTTTGTTTGATATTGTGTGATATTTTTATCATCGCCTTCCTCCTAACAATCCAACACTTGTTGTATGATACATCTAAGTTGGTCGCTTTATGCATTAAAAGACGAATATCTTTCGGTCTTAGATCAAGATCCTCCCTTAGATGCAGTAAAATCAATCGATATATAAAAAAAGAGGACACATGCTTGTTATTCATCTCCAATCAAGGATTGCTACATGTGTGGAGTCCATAGTATGCCATGATTTTGAAATGCCCACCTACCTTATACCCGAACGTGAATTAAGCTTCCAAGGACATTTCACATTGTCGTTGTGGTGTCCATTATTATCTTCATCTTCACTATCTTTGTGATAAAAACAAATCACATTATAACTTGTGTTATTTTTTGTTTGCCTAAACTTGACATTTTTGGCAATGGCATACGAGTAAAGCACATGGATCAATTTCTCCTTACTTTTAAAAAGATCTCCCTTCGTGAATGAGAAGTCCTTGCCCTGTGTAGCAACACCGTTATTAGTACCAATAGGAATACTTTTTATCATGGAGTTATCAATCCATTCTTTTCTTTGAAGTTCATCGGGCGACGGATCCTCTAAGACAACATACTCATTATTAGTATAATATCTGTCAATGTGTTGGCTGTCCCCTTCATCACGATCTATCAACGTCATGCTATTAATTTGTAAACCGTCCTCTTCATCATCATTCTCGGATTTGACACTTGCATTATCTTCTTGATGGGCCGTGTTAGTATCGAAAGCATTTGAAGTGCCCACCATCGAAGGATCGCTTATGTATTATGATTGTGTCCAACCTTCATCTTATTACAGAGGTAAAAAGCCGATGAAGTCAACTTTAAGGTCCTCCAACATACGGGAGTACATTCCGTTGTTATTCAACGATTTGTCCAAATTCCTCTGATGTTTTTTAATAAACAATTCGATCGAACGCCCCTCGCCGTGTAACACTCCAATGAGACCCATATCATATTCACTTCATATTTGAATGTCGCTTTTATGTTCCCCGTAATAGGATAATTGTAAATAACATTAAGGTGATACTCACGTGAGTTGGTTAATATAAGTTTGTGTAATTCATTAACCTATTCATCGAAAGTACACGATTTTGTTATAAACAACGGTCTCGTCACACCTCCTTCATAAACAGATATATTATTTGCGAGATAATTAATCTTCTCATCATATGAACAAAGAATTACGCTTCGATCATTCATCATTACCTTGAAGAGTAAAAAAATTCACGATCAATATTACACGAAAAAACTTTATAAAAATGTTATTTACCATTAAATCCTATCTTATCAATTTTAGAAACCCATAATTTTAACCAAATTCATATATCAATATCACTTACCATTAAATCCTATCTTATCAATTTTAGAAACCCATAATTTTAACCAAATTCATATATCAATATCAAACATATGTAGTAACCCATAATTTTAACCAAATTCATATATCAATATCAAACATATGTAGTAACACTAACATTTACATTTTTTGATAATTTCCCCTCTAAATACACAAAATTATTTAAAATTTCTTCACAATCTTCCTAAATAATTCACAAGTAATTTCTAAAATCTAATTTTTTTTTCCAAGTAATCATCATGATATAGTGAGAATATACAAGAATTTAGGAGGAAATTTTTTAAAAAAAGATTTTACCTTAAAATTTTCCTAATTTCCGGTGAACTCTGGCGATGACGGCGGAGAGAACGATCTACTCTGGTGAGGATGATGACCGCCGCCGACGGGGACTTCAATGACGGCGGTGGAACCGACGGCGGCGGAATTAGTGGCGGTGGGGAACGGTAAAGAGAGGGTTAGGGTTTCGGTTTGGGAACGGGTGAGAGAGGGGTGCGGGTTGGGTGATGGCTTCAGTGAGGATGATGACCGCTAGCGGCGCGGACTTCAGCGAATTGGTGGCGGTGAGGAACGGTGAAGAGAGGGTTAGGGTTTCGGTTTGGGAACGGGTGAGAAAGGGATGCGGGACTTCACGAGGCTGGGCCATATATAGGCGTTTACAACTCCACGAGAGTTGAACTCCCGTGGAGTTGAACTCCCTTGGAGTTGTAGTCAAAAATTTTACGAGAGTTGGCTCTCTGGAAATTGGACTGAAACTCCACGAGAGTTCAACTCCCGTGAAGTTTGTTCAACAAATACAACTTCACGGGAGTTCAACTCCCGTGAAGTTTGTTTAATCAATAAAACTTCACGGAGTTGAACTCCCGTGAAGTTTTAGCAGATTGTTAATAATCTGATAAACTTCACAGGAGTTTAACTCCCGTGAAGTTTCAGAATTTTTTTTTCAAAAACCTACATGTTTTCAGCATCAAGGTTGAAACCAGGTTAGTTTTTTAAAAAAAGTGCAAATGATGTCGGTTTTTGGGATTAAATGTTGAAAGGGTTGGTTTTAAAAATTTGTCCTCCCTATGTTCTATATTAGATCATCTAAACTATTTTATTAGCATCTAACACTTTTTGAATTTGTAAGACAGGGAGTTTGCAACTTATTTTTCTTAAGAATGTTAATTTAGAAGTGTTAAGTACAACTACCAAAATATTAAAGGTGTGATTGTGTGAGATTATATACGACTTACCCTTTTCATTGCTTGATGATAAGTAGCTTTTTGTTTCTACACGAGAACCTAGACTACAGGATTGGGAATCGTCAGCGACCCTCGTACGTAATTTCTTATAACCCAAGAAGAACAAAACGAAGGCGGATTTTTTTTTTTTTTTTGCATTGTATAAAAATTAATTCATTGAAAACAATTTTTAATCTAAAAAATATTTTATTGGTTTTACTTTTACTGCAGAGCGAAGAGGGTGAGAATCATCTCAGGGAGAACAAAACAAATATTGGACGGTTTTACATCACATCAAAATCTACTTCATTGAAAAACATGAATTTTATCAAGATTAGGGAAATTTGTTGCTAGCCTCCCAAGTTAAAAGACATCGTGCTTCCACGTACCCTTTCAAAAAAGTCTTTTAAGTCCTTACCCAATGACTTTTATTCAATGAGATACGGTTTTGTTTTTGTTTTTCCCCCATTTCACCTCTTAATTAACCACGTTGACATACGTCAGCGTGAAAATCGAGAAAATTAGGCGAGACTCACGTAGTAGTGATAAGTATACTACAATAGTTATATTACTCTTCTACTATCATAGACAAAAAATTGGGACTCTTTCTTGTTAATTAATTGTGAAGAGAAATTATGGATTGTTATGGACCTCACATTTTTGTATGTAGTAGTACAGGTAGCGCACTTTGATATTTTCCTTCTAAATATTCCCAAAGTATTCAGTAGCAGTTTGACATCTGACAGTACGTAAGAAGTGTATCAACCGGATACGAAAGGCAAATTATTTGTCTGCAAACAGTTGGACTAGTTATTCATGTAACTCTCTAGCTAGGATCACCAATTCCACGGCAATCATGTGATATGAAGCTTGCCAAGCTCTTTATTACACTTCATTGACTTCAACTTACCACAAACAAAAGCACGTCCAAGGTGCAATCAAATTATTTATAAGCCTGCAGGTTACAGAGACCCCGTAAATAATTAAACTATATTCATTGGACTAAAAACCCTGCACTTTATACATTAACAGAGTGAAAACGACTTCACCATCGTATCAAATCGAAAAAGTCTCATATGAGTTACAACACTTTCATTCAACCGGTCACACACAATTTCACACAGCAGCCTCAAAAGTCCAAGATTACAATAATATACAATAATACTGACTACTACAGAGGTTTCCGGCATGTAATGATTGTGTACTTGACAACATTTTTCTTGTAGCCCTCAATAACCTTAGGCATCACGGGTGCTCCTCTTATGGTCTTCCATCCTAAGAAAGAACAAAATCTAAGCAATGGAATCATTTATAATAACAGAAGCAATATTATAAATGAATATCGTGCCGGAAAAGTTTTCTCTTACCGCTTCCTAAAAAAGAAATGAGGCCTCGCCATGTTAAAAGAGATCGGAGGACTGCAGGCCAAAAAGGCATTACATTCTCTGACCAGTCGTCTGTCTTAATATCCTACAACAGAGAGCAGCGTGTTTGTTTTGAATTGTTCCTCTCTATTTCTGTATGTAGATCAGTGTACGTAGTTCTGTCTTTCCTAAAGATTACCTGAAAGGGTCAATTGGGGATAGAACCCATGTACTATTGCCCAATTGCAGATAGACTCCTTGTGCAAAAATCTTTTGACCCTTAAAAAAATTAAAAAAAAAGTTCATTCTGATCAGAGTGTCTATCCTCACCAATAGAACTATTGGAGGTCTATCTGCAGTTAAGCTATAGTACAACAGAGGTCCATCCGCAATTGAGCCTATCAAAACTTAATTAATCTTCGTTTGCATACTATGGTGTTTTACTTATTTTCATTGTGTTTTCACCAAAAACACAACCCCATATGTTTGAAAACTATCGCATTTTTTGAGCTAAGTCATCCTCAAACACAAAACACAACACTTATTTCAAAACACCTTTTAGGTTAATATAATATATTAAATATAATTAATATATAGTTCTTATTGACTTGCTTATTATATTATAAATTATAATATATTATACTATACTATATTATTGTTAATCTAATATATTAGTAATATTTAATAAATAATAGAAAATATAATAATTAAAATATCTTATATAAATGACATATTATATACTAGTATTTAATATGTTGGTAATGTATTATATAATAATAAATAATAATAATATATAAATAAACTAATAAAAAAGTTATTGATAATAAATAATAATATAATAATGGTATAATAATATACTACACAATAGTATAATCACTATAATATTATTAACTGGTCTTTAATAAATAAATTTTAATAAATTAGATAATTAAAAATATTATATCGAATAGTAACAAATATTTATAAATAAAATATATATAAATATATTTATAGCTATTAATGTATATAATATATAGAATATTAATATATTATATATAAATAATATAATATGATTATAAGTAAAGATGATTTTTAATAGCAAAATAAATTTAGTGGCTAAAAATGTTAATGTAAAAATAATATATTCATAATATACTAGATATATTTATTTATATCAATAAATTATTAAAGTTATTATTAATAATACCTAACATATATGAGAAACTATAACATATTATATAATATTAAAATATTTATAATATATTAATTTATTAAAAAAATACTAGTAGTAACATAATATTAACATTATTAATAATATTATAATATATTAATAATAGTATCATATTATATTAATAATAAAATAATATTATTTTAAAAATATTATATAATATATAACAATAACAAGTTGATATACCAAAATAATTAAATATATTTTATTTAAAATAGTATGTAATATGTATAATATAATATATCACAATAAAGTACAATATAATATTGATATAATATTATAATACATTATACAATATTATATTGTATTATACTAACTATTTATAATACTATAGTAATGTAAACCAAATATTAGAATATTTAATTTATAATATATTTTATTATAATTAATATATAATATATTAATAATATGTTTAATACTAATGTTATAAAGGGTCAAACTAGTATTGACAAAAACACTCAACATGGTGTTTTGAAAACACTTAAAGGGAAAAACACAGCATCATGGTGTTTTTTAAGAAAAACACAGTAAGGAAAACACCATGGCATCCAAACGAAATTAAATACTAAATGAAATGATACATAGTAATATTTTACCAGGAGATTTAAGGATTGAGCACTTTTAACATAATCAGCAGCTGAACACCAATTTGGGAGGTAATGTGAACTGGATAGTTTGTTCAATAGATTCTTCTCCTTGGGATTTAGAGAGACTTCGTCAGGACAGAGATCTCTGTGACACCATGTCGTTATTACTATGGTAGCCCCAGGTGCAGCAACACGTTCTAATTCGCTTACGAACTGACGAAACCAAGCACAATTGCATCAGCACAAATGATTTAAACTCAAAATCGTTATTTCTTAAAAGAATCTGTGTCTGTAATTTCAAACATGCATGAAATATGCATCAATTGTGGTGGTCACCTCACTTAGGTTATGCAACATAGAAAATTTCTATAATGAATATAAAATTTTATACTAGAAATTTCTCACATGTTATCCTTGGTCTTCATATAAATAGATAACTTACTTATGCAAGCACATGTTATCCTTGCTTATCCTTGGTCTTCATATAAATAGATAACTTACTTATGCAAGCACATGTTATCCTTGGTTATCCCTGGTCTTCATATAAATAGATAACCTCACTTAGGTTATGCAACAAGATTTTACGAATGACTGATCTTAAATAGCGAGAGAAAGAATTTAGTTTTATCTTACTACATCAGAACATACAACAAAAATGTAGGTATATTTTTGCATCAAAATTGACAGCACAGGTGTCTACGTGTCACCTGCTATATTACTCGAGATAGATAATTTTATTATTTCGAGTTCGCCTATATAAAAAGATAATTTGAATGGAGTTTTTATCAGAATGCATACTCTACTTTCAACTACATAATAAACAAGTTATGAAGTTAAAATATAAAGTATATATAGACTTCTCACTGATACATGCAAGTATAGACCTGTGAAAACCAATTAAATCATGATGGGGAAAAAAAATAGTGATCCAGTATGCCCCTTTTTCTACTCAGACGATGTATTTGCATGTGCAAAACACTGCAATAAAGTATAGCAGGTTGCCTTACATATAGCATAAGAAGTTTGATAGCAATTTCAGATAGAACATGGTACAATCTCTAAAGAATCACCTTCTGGCTTATTACCTACTTGTAAGCATTAAGAAAGAAAACACTTGACAGCATAACAACAATTGATTTGAATAAAAATGCACTAGCATAACATGAATCTTATACTTAATGAAAACTAATAAATATCATTGCTTGTTTACATCAAATAAATTAATTACCTTCGTCTTGTCAGGAATATGCTCCGCACACTCCATGGACCAAACCAGGTCGAACTGCCCATCAGGGAATGGTTGGTTTAATGCATCTGCAACTTGGTAGGACACCTGATAACCAATGAAGTTAAATATGATTTTGCGTACAATTGTTTATACAATTTAGTTTTCCTTTCATTGGACTTTCTAAACAACGTTAACATTTCTTTCGTAGAATTTTCTATAGATAACTTACAGTACTTGCTAAGATTTCCCTTGAGCGAAAAATGAAAATTAATGCTTACAGTGGAAAATAGTGCCAGTTATATTGGGAATGAATGACGACCATACTGTTACCATCTACATATTACACATTACGATTGAGGAAGCAATTCTTTTCCTACTTACCGTGGAGAGGATCTGATCGATTCCTAATACATTAAGAAACAGATACGGTACTAAAAGAAACAAAAGTGAGGGAGATAATTGGATACTTTGTCAGCTAGCCCCTCAGCAGCAGCAAGAGCTTGTGCCCTTTGAGCTTGGACAGCGCTCAAAGTGATGCCACAGCAATCAGCTCCATACTTCCTTGCTAGATATATACAGCTGCCACCTAGCCCACATCCAACATCAACAATCTTCTTCGGCTTGTGCAAGGAATCATCTGCACGAATAATAAAATTGACTATAAGTTAAATGTCAGCACAACTTGTTTTCAAATAATTCTTTATTGAAAAAAGAAATTTGAACCTTATAGGACTTCTAGTAATGTAATAATATGTGACCAAAATATATAATGATAATGCAAACAGGAAGAAATAGCATATATAATTTCTAAAAGTGATGCACGGTTTGATGTTTGACTTCCCTTCAAAAAAACTGTTGATTCTCACAAATTATAGGCTTCGAAGTGGAACAAATATATATGGAATTAGCTGATTTAAGTTAAATAGTAATGGACCTGTAAGTATTTATGAACACAGTATGCGTACATTTCTGCACCGAACCAGATACTATTCTTGAAGAACAGTAGCCTCACTGAAAAAATTCATAATTTAAAGATCATGTCTTCATGATTTTATGAAGCCTTCTGCATATTCTTCTAGAATGACAACATTCTTATCTGTGTTGGGGATTTTACTCCCCCCTACTATGATTTCCGCAACCTAAAAATCAACACATAATCAACAAGATAGAAAATACTCACAATTAAGAAAATAAACACCGAGATTTACATGGTTTGGTCGACCAACTTCAATCTACTTCCACAGGGTAACAATACGATCGAGAAATCCACTATGTAGAAGGAGAACTACAAGAGAAACTATAAACTCTCTCTCTCAACATTACATACATAGTCAACTTCTCATATTCTCTCTAAAGCCCTCTCCTTACAATCTTTTCAATGGGTACAAACTGTGAAACCCTCTTCTTGTGAACGCGGAAGTGAGTTTCCAATGGGGGCCACACCCCACGTGAAGAGATCAAAGCCAAGATCTCGTGAACAGTAGACATACAAAAGCCCACCCGATTCAATTGTATAGCACCCCTATAAATTCCCATCCTAGGGCTTCGTGAAACATGAGAAAGTGTAAGGGGGAAAGAAAAAATCGCAGGCGGCGGATTTTTTCGGCTGCAGTGACTTCGTGCGAAGGAGGCGAGTTGGGTGCAGCATGTTTTGTGCGAAGGTGGCTGGAGAAAACTCTCCATGTGCGGCTGTGCAAAAGAAAAGGCAGAGGTTCCTTTTTTGGGTTTTGTGCATCCTTTTGAGAGAGTTTTTGTATGAGGGATTTGAGAGTTTGTTTGAGGGTTTAGATTGAGTGATTGTAAATCCTAGTTGTATCTCTCCCTCAAATAGTAGATCTCCCCCCTCCTTGCCCCGTGGACGTAGGCAGTTTGCCGAACCACGTAAAATTAATTTGTTTATGTTTATGGCCATTGTAATAGTTTTAGGATCCCTCGACAAGTCAGTCCTAGAACTGATGAGAGGAAGAGCTGATATCTCACTTTGTTGAGATATTCGCTTCAGATTCTTATTTTCTTGGTGAGACAGGAATTCTTATTGATCTTTCTCTATTATTGTGCACCAGAAACTCTGCCGAAATTTCTGTTGTGCACAACAAGTGGTATCAGAGCTCGGGCTACGCTTGGGCTATTTGGAGGAGTAGATCGATTTGAAAGCTCGTCTTGGGCTTTGTTTGGTGATAAAGGTGGGATCTTTTGGTAAAGACTCTATCTTTTTAGTTTTTGATCTATTCTTCATTCGTTGGTGCGTTGAGAAAGATGTCGGGGAAAGAAGATGCTTCGGGTGTCGAGGATGGTGCTTCTGGCGCGAAGACCATTCAGAGTTTGAATATCCACTCTATGAAGATAGATGTGGAGAAGTTTAATGGTACAAACAACTTTGGATTATGGAGATGCGAGGTTTTGGATGCGCTGAACGCGCAGAATTTGGAGGATACCTTGGAGTTAGATGGCAAGCCAGATGTGATTGAAGAGAAGGTTTGGAAGAAGATGAATCGAACGGCGTGTGGTGTGATTAGATCTTGTTTAACTCAAGATCTAAAATATGATGTGATGAATGAGACTTCTGCAAAGAAGATTTGGGAGATTCTCAAAAGCAAGTATCTGACAAAGAGTATTGAGAACCGCTTGTATTTGAAGAGGAGACTTTATCGTTTCCAGTTGAACAAGGGAACCTCAATTAGAGATCACATGAACACCTACACAAAGCTTCTTGCGGATTTGGTGAATGTGGATGTCATGATTGAAGATAAGGACAAGACGTTGCTGTTGTTGAGTTCCTTGCCCGACGAGGAATATGAGACATTAGTCCTTATTCTGATTAATGGGAAGGCATCCCTTTCATATAGTGAGGTCACTACTGCACTAGTGTATTATCAGCTTCGAAAGAAGAATAAGGAGGCTTCAGTTGAGCCGGTAGCAGAGGCGTTGGCAGCAAGAGGGAAGGGTCCAAACCGAAAGAATTAGAAGTCACGGTCTAGAGTAGGACATCCTATAATTAGAAAAGATCAGTGTGCATGATGCAAGGAGACTGGTCATTGGAAGAAAGACTGTCCAAAGCTCGACGAATGGATGAAGAATAAGCAGAAGGGAAAAGGGAAGCAACCATCATCAGAAGCAAACATCATATCGGATGATAATAATTCTGACTCTTCTATTTATTCTCTTTCTATCAGTCCTACAGATAGCTATTCGGAGGAATTTGAATGGATGTTGGATAGTGGTGCGACCTATCATGTGTGCCCTAGAAGGAAATGATTCTTCAGTTTTGAGAAGCTGGATAGTGGTGTGGTATACATGGCTGATAACCGTGCATGCCGGATCCTTAAGATAGGAAGAATTCACGTTAAGATGTTTGACGGGACTGTTAGGGAGTTAAATGATGTGAGATATGTTCTTTTTTTAAGGAAGAACTTGATCTTAATTGGAGCTTTGGTTGGAGAGGGTCTGAATGTTCGAATTGAGGATATGGTTCTTAAGATTGTGGAAGACTCTCAGATTGTGATGAAGGGCGTCAGGAGGAATAACCTGTATTACTTGACTGGAGGTATAGTGGCAGATGGAGAACTGACGACTTCTATTGATTCGACTAGACTGCGGTATTTGGGGCTTAGCCATTCCAGTATTAATTCCTCACATAGATTGAAAGAGGGTGCGAAGACCTGCAGTTTGAAGTCCAGTGAACATGTTGATGTGAGCAAGAAGACCAATGTGAAGTGTGACACCTCTATTCACCGTGTTAAGGATCGTTCTGAAGGAGTTCACGAGGATGTTTGGGGGCCTTCCAATGGGGCATCATTGGGAAGTAATAGGCGTTTGGTTTCCTTTGTTGGTGGCTGTTCTAGGCGTGTTTGGGTTGCAACCAAATCCTCAATGGAGAAAGTCCTAGTAGTCTCTAACAGTTTGAAGAAGTGTAAGATGGACAGAAAGGTGAAGGTACTTCATTCTGATTTTGGTGAGAGGTACAAGATGGACCTATTTCTGTATTGGAGCCGAGCTCACGGCATTTTGAGACACTTCGTTGGAAAGGAAATCTTGGGGCAACCAGATAGGGTGGCAAATTTGGAGAACCATGCCTTGCTGGAGGAGGATCAGTGTTTGTGGCCGAGCAATAGTTTGCAGAAGAGGTTCTGGACTGAGGCTTCGACATATTTGAGTCATTCTATTAAAGAATTGCCAACTGTTGCGATTGGAGGTAAAACTCCATTGGAAGATAGGTCTGGTTGTGTCACTTTGGATGATGCTTCGATGAGGGAGCTATTTGACTCTCAACAGGTGGAGAGTTTTGGACAGACCTTAGATGTATCACAGCGGATGAAGATTGATGCTACTCCATATTGGGTGAAGATTACTCCAGATCATACTACATTGTTTGGGATTCCAGCTGAGGTAACACAGCTTAGGGATCATTTGTATTTAGGTGCAGATGATGAGTTGAGTTTTTATTCGAGTGCAGCTGGTAGACATAATTTGGATATGGTCATTGGTTTACCTCAGGTGGAGGTGTTTGAGGCCATTGGAGGTGCTATCAGCCGCAGAGTAGATGATATTAGAGAAGGGTTGCGAACTCTTCTATTGAATTGTGGTCGTTCGCGGCCATTTTGGTGAACTACGTTCGGCTTGATTCCTTGGGAAAGAGGATACGTAGACAGTCTTTATGATGCAGTCGGTTTGGATTAGTTGATTTTGATGGGGTGAGATCGATTTGGTGAGTTGATACCGACGTTTGGAGTTTGTTCGCATTCTCTTTTGGGTTCTCGACTTCTTGTGGATTGAGTCTGTTGTCGTGAACTGTTTCACTTCGTACTGGATGCAACAAGTGAGACATTTGGTTTGTTTAGTGTCGGCTCAGTTTTGGAAGAAAACTTCGCCGAGGTGGAGAATTGTGAACGCGGAAGTGAGTTTCCAATGGGGGCCACACCCCACGTGAAGAGATCAAAGCCAAGATCTCATGAACAGTAGACATACAAAAGCCCACCCGATTCAATTGTATAGCACCCTTATAAATTCCCATCCTAGGGCTTCGTGAAACATGAGCAAGTGTAAGGGGGAAAGAAAAAATCGCAGGCGGCGGATTTTTTCGGCTGCAGTGACTTCGTGCGAAGGAGGCGATTTGGGTGTAGCAGGTTTTGTGCGAAGGTGGTTGGAGAAAACTCTCCGTGTGCGGCTGTGCAAAAGAAAAGGCAGAGGTTCCTTTTTTGGGTTTTGTGCATCCTTTTGAGAGAGTTTTTGTATGAGAGATTTGAGAGTTTGTTTGAGGGTTTAGATTAAGTAATTGTAAACCCTAGTTGTATCTCTCCCTCTAATAGTAGATCTCCCCCCTCCTTGCCCCGTGGATGTAGGCAGTTTGCCGAACCATGTAAAATTAGTTTGTTTGTGTTTGTGGCCATTGTAATAGTTTTAAGATCTCTCGACAAGTCAGTCCTAGAACTGATGAGAGGAAGAGCCGATATCTCACTTTGTTGAGATATTCGCTTCAGATTCTTGTTTCCTTGGTGAGATAGGAATTCTTATTGATCTTTCTCTATTATTGTGCACCAAAAACTCTGCCGAAATTTCCGCTACGCACAACACTTCTCTCACACACTTTTTTAATCTAGTTACACCCTCTCCTAATCCGAGAATACAAGAATAGCAACTTCCTCCTTTTTCTTCCTTGGTTTTTCTGACTCAATCTCCTAATCATAATAGACATCTAATTCTATTTAACTCCTAAGAAGTTATACTAAGAATCAAGGACATAATCCTAACAATCTGGACTTGAATGCTATAATATTAATTTTCTAGCATCTTCTTCTGATTTCGGCTTGAGATGAAGAGGTCTAATCCCTCATTAACCTCCCAAATAACTGAGGTATTAACCCTCACGTGATGTAGCTTCCTCACCTAACCCATCATAAGGTGGGTTTACAATTCTGCATGAGAAGGTGAAACAAAGATATTCGGCCTCCTCACGTAGGGTAGTACTGTAATTTAGGAAAATATCGAAAAACAAAAGTAAGTCCATTGGCTCCGCCCCGTCCACGGAAACACATACCCTTTATTTGTTAAAAATAAAAAGAAAAAGAAAATCTTTATATGAAAAAAATTCCCACTTCAGTGGCCTTGAACCCAAGTTGGACTCTAGATTTGATGAGAAAAAAACTTTTTTTTTGAACCAGAAAAACAGGGAGAGATTCCCTGTTCATATATTAAAATATGTATAGAAACAAAAGAGTTAGTGTAATTACAAGTCAAACAAAAAAAAAAGAAGAGGATAATAAGAACCAATAGGTGATATAACCGGTGGGGAGCGGACCTTGTCGTCACCCACCAAGTCAGATCAAAGATGGTTCCTATGATCCCTGCTACACTGCTTAAACTAGATGTAAAACTTATGAAGTTATTACAAAACTAAGAACTATTATTACTGTTAGACCGAAGCCCAAAATAACAACAAAAGGGGAGATGATGGTATTAGAAATTGTCCCCGACATCATCATCCTTGGAAACTTTGGCTAGCTCCTTCAGACCGAGGCGGAGCGCCGCTCTGTGCATGTTTGCTGCTCTTCTGCTTGAAGCAGCACTTGTCCATAACAAGGTGAAACGAGCAATATGAACTTCTATGATCAAGGGAGATGCACCTACACCATTAAAAGTCTTGTTATTTCTGCTAAACCAGATTCTCCAACAGCAACAGTGTAATAAAACTCTCCATAGGCATCTGATACGGTAGTCAGTGAACTGATTAAGAGATCCAGAAAGAAGAGCTGAAATATCTTGCGGCCATTTGTCAGAATGGAGGTTGGGGTTGATCAATGACCAAACTTCTCTCAGAACTGAACATTTGGCAAAGAGATGGTCATGGGTCTCACTAGCAGAATTACATAAAGGACATGTATTGTCGCCGGTCCAACCTTTTTTAGATAGCACATCTTTCGTTTGTAGCTTCTGATGGCTAAGGAGCCAGAGGAAAATTTTAACCTTGTGGGGAGTGGGAGATTTCCATATGAATTGGAATAAATGAGATTTGATCCCCCCTGAGACAAGGGATCTGTAGCATGAGTTAACAGTGAACTCTCTGGATGGATGAAGGGGCCAACAGATCTTATCATGAGCTTGAATGTCCGGAGTCTTGGATTGAGCTAGAATGGAATACAGGTGGTTGATATCTTCTCTAATAACTGTGGAATGAGCTCTCCTGATGATGGGGTGCCATCTCCATACGTTATTGATAAAAACTCCTTGGGAAAAAACTGAGCTAGTATGAGAGAAGGCAAGTTGATAGACTCTTGAGTGTAAGCTCCTGAGAGTGTTGACACCCAGCCACTTATCGTGCCAAAATCTATAAGAAGTATCATCCCCTATGAACCACTGAGCCTGGCTAAAGAAAGAGTCATGAATATTAAAAAGATCTTTAATCAAATTGGAGGCTGATGCCTTAGGAGGACTAACCAATGAGTTGGAGGAATTGGAGGAGTATATAGACCAAATGACCTTGCTTATGAAAGAGTTTTTGAGGCTGATTTTCCATAACCATTTGGATAGAAGAGCCTGGTTGAAAGAGTGCAAGTTGATGACCCCTAGACCCCCCTCGACCTTGGGTTTACAGACAATGCCCCAGCTGATTAAACTCCTTGGTTTGGAAGTATGGGGGAAGCAGCCCTAAAGAAAATTCCTTCTAATTCTATCAATGGTCTTGATGAGCCAGGATGGGAGTTTGAAAAAAGACATATAGTAAAGAGGGATAGAAGATAGAACCGAGTTTATAAGAGTGATAGAACCGAGTTTAGAAGAGTGAGTCTACCACCTATTGACAGAGATTTATGTTTCCACAGAGACAGCTTTTTAGAGAATGAGTCGAGAAGGGGTTGCCACTCTCTTTTGGAAAGAGAGCCCCTTTTAAGGGGAAGCCCAAGATAGGAGAATGGAAGGGTACCAAGGGAACAACTAAGACTGTCAGCGAGTGTGGTACCATTGTTGGGAATTCTACCAAGATAGTAGAGATGAGATTTGGCCTGGTTCATGGATAGGCCAGATGTAAGACCAAAGATGCGAAGGATGATTTTGAGAGTGTGAATGTCTCTGCGAGTGGCTTTGCAAAAGATGAGGGTGTCGTCTGCAAACTGGAGGGTTCTAATATGATTTAACTCCCCTTTCAGATTAAGATCAGAGAGGTCTCCTGAGAGAGCACTAGAGGAGATCATCTTGGTCAGGACATCAACAATGAGCAGAAATAAGAGGGGGGAGAGGGGGTCACCCTGTTTAAGTCCCCGATGGCATTGAAAGAAAGCAGAAGGTGAGCCATTAACTAGGACTACAGACTTAGCAGAGGAAAGGATATTAAGGATCCAGGAGCACCATGTGTTACTGAAGCCTCTTGCTTTGAGGAGGTTGATAAGAAAATCCCAGCTAACACAATCGAAGGCCTTATAAAAGTCTACCTTGATGGCACATAACTCTTTTTTACCAGATGAGCAGAGGTTGATCATTTCGTGGGCAAGGAGGATGGAATCGAGGGCTGACTTACCATGTTGAAAGGCTGATTGGGATTTATCCACTAGAGAAGAGATATGAGGGCTGAGTCTGTTGGATAAATTTTAGAAAAAATTTTAACCGTGCTATTGATGAGGCTAATGGGTCTAAAATCGGCTGGGGAATTGGCCCATCTTTTTTAGGAATGAGAGTGATAAAGGAGTAGTTGATGTTGTGGATTGGAAGAGAATTGGTGTGAAGGGATTGAAAGAAGGGGATGAGGTCTTTGTGGATGACCGACCAGAAATTCTGGAAGAAAAGGATTGGAAGTCCATCAGGCCCAGGAGCCTTCTCTGGATGGAGGTCAAAAACTGCTTTTTTAATCTCTTCAACAGAGAAGGGGGAGTCTAGAAGAGAAAGATCTGGAGCTGGATTGGGGTATAGCTTAGACCAATTGATGGAGAGGTTGGATGATTCCTTGGCTTTGAAAAGGTTAGAAAAGAAAGAGAGGAAGGCTTGTTTGATAACAACTTCAGATGAGAGGATGGTGCTATCTATTTGAAGATAGAGTATGAAGTTAACTCTCCTGCGGTGGGAAGCCATTCTGTGGAAGAAAGAAGAATTACTGTCCCTCTCTTTGAGCCACTGGATCCGAGATCTTTGTCTCCACTTGGTTTCCTCAACTAAGGCAAGATGGAAGAGGTGATCTCTAAGCTGAGATCTGAGAGAGAGGTCAGACTGAGAAAGAGGATGAGTTTCTTCAAGGCGATTAAGGGAGTCCAGATCCTCCATGATAGAGGATTTTAAGAGATGAGAAGATCTAGAGGAGTTCTTCTTCCACCATTTCATTCTCCTATGGATGAGCTTGATTTTTTGAAGAAAAGAGGTGATCAAATTCCCTGAAGTGTAGAAGGAATCCCAACAAGATTGAATAAAAGGAGTAAATGATTGGTAGAGGAGCCAAGCCTTTTCGAACCTGAAGATTTTGGAAGGGGGAATTCCACCAGAATCTAGGATGACTGGACAATGATCTGAGCATGGGGAATGATAGGCATATTGAATGAGGAATGGGAACTTGGCTTCGAAATCTTGAGAAATGAAGAATCTGTCTAGTCTAGCAAGAGAGGGATTAGATCTTTGATTGGACCATGTGAATTTCCTGCCACTCATAGGAAGATCAATGAGCTGAAGGGAGTCAATAAGATGTTTAAAGTGCTCGATATCTCTGATGGAGCCAGATCTACCACTCCTTTCGTCAAGACTTAAGGTCATGTTGAAGTCTCCAAAGACCACCCAGGGTATAGAAATAGAAGATCTTAATCTAGAGAGTTCCCACCAGCAAACTTCTATATCTGCATTGTCGTGAGGGGCATACACGGAAGTTGTCGCGAAAGACCAGTTAGAATTCAAGAGAGTGAAGAAAGCAGTGACACAGAAGATCCCAATGCTATTAGAGGAGCATGAGATAGAAGAATTCCTCCAATCCAGAAGGATACCACCTCTAGACTCAGTGGCGTCTAATGAAATCCAAGAAAAATTGCTATTAGGGCTCAAACTGTTGAGGACTCTAGAGGAAATAGAGTTAAGCTTAGATTCTTGAAGACCTACAAGGTCTAAAGAGGCCAGCTGAATGTTTTCCTTCACTAATCTCCTTTTTGTTGGGTTATTCAACCCTCTAACATTCCAGGTTCCTATCTTCATCAATAAAAAAGAACACGACCTACGACTTCAAGGACCACCTAATTAGTGGTTAGACTTCTCTACACTATCCTGAGATTGGATGACTAGCAGGCTGTCACGATCAATAGGTTCCTCTATCCCACAATTAATAGCAATTTCATTAATATTATCTATGCTATTAAGAGAAGAGAAGTTGGCAGAAGATGAGGGTTTGCTCTTGATACCTCCTGGAGGAATACTCTTCTTCAAAATGGCCAAATGTTTCCTATGAGGCAGCAGGGAGAACTGTCTTTTGGATGACTTCTTCTTCGAGAGTTTCTTGACGTGTTCAAAACCTGGGGGGGAGCCGATGATGAGACAACGTCCAACAAATCTGAGGAGCTGTGGAGAGGTATAGGGGGGGTCTGGTTGCTGGGGAAAACCATAGCCAGATCGTCTGCATTTGCATGGGGGAATGAAGCTGAAAGGCGGATCCAGGATTCTTTGGCAATTTGCAGAGGAACACCCTTGAAGATCACCTCTACCATTTCCACAGGTTGCTGAGTTAGCAGAGGCGAGGTCGGTCTGTCCGAACTGGCAGGAGACACTCTAGGAGTTTTATCTTTTAAATCCGCTGGAGGTGTAGGTGCTACCTCGGTGGGATTAAGGGGAGAGCTGATAGGAACTTCGACTGATGGTCGTTGTGCTTCTGAGGAGATATGGCGGAGACTTGCAGGAGTGGCGGATGAGGATGAGGACTTAGTAACTAGAAGTAACATAGCTGACAAAAAAATTAACATAACATAATTCGATATGTACAAAAGACAAATATATATGTGAATAAATATCCTTGGATTTTGGCTCTTATTCTTTTGTGGAAAGAGAGAGAGTGTGTGTGTATATGTGTATGCATACGTGTGTTTGCACGCACGCACGTGTGTATATAGGTATGTATAGTATCAAGAATATATTAGTGCTTGGTAGTGATGTGGATGCTTTTCATATATACTCATTTAAAGGTGTAATTATCGACACTTGATTACCCATACATTAAATGAGTGGATAAAAACTAGCCACATCACTATCAAGCACCAAATTTGGTGCTTGCTACCAAGCGCACACACACATGACCTGAGATGTTAGTTCTATTTTGCAAATTAAGTTGTAAATAAACAAAGCATTTACAAATCCAGTTGCTCTATTTTCATTTGGGACTTCATTTCTGTCCAACCAAATAGGCCGAGAGAAACCATGTATGATAGAGGAAGCTAGTATTCCCAATCAAGACAGAAAATTCTATCTTGTTTTGCCAAAATAGGATCGTCCTGAAGGTGTGACCACTTAAACCTGCGGTCTTGATCATTGATTCGGATTGGCTTACCCTATAGTTAATTTTTTTTTAACAAATACTAAAGTAGAAATTTTTGTGGCGAGGAGAGAGTTATTAGAAATGAGCTTAGTGCTTATTTAAATGAAATCTTGTTACAGGAAGAAATGATGTGGAAACAGAGATCTAAAAGTGCATTGGTTGAAAGTGGGTGATAGTAATAGTAGATTTTTTTTTTTCATAATGCGACCAACGGTAAAAGAAGACATAATATGATTTCAAATGTTGAAGAAAATGGTATTGATATTAGTTCTAAAGAGGGTATTAATTGCAAATGCTTTTTGAAAACATTGTCAAGGAATATTCGGTTAGAAGGTTGAACATAGATGTGCAGTGGATTTTGGAGGTCATTATATCCTGAGAATAGGTTGAGTTTGGAATGTTTAGAAGTGCCTTTTAGTATAGAGGAGTGATGTTTGTGTTTGATATGGGGAGTGGTAAAGCTCCTGGTCTTGATGGATTTCCCCCCCATTTTCTTCAGGAATTTTGGGAAGTGACTAAAGAGGATTTGTTTAGAATGTTTTCTGATTTCTATGAGGGTAACTTAGAGATAAAAAAATTGAATTATGCACATGTCATTTTATTTCACTTCCTAAAACGATGGAGGTTATGCTTGCAAGTGATTATAGACCAATTAGTTTACTAAATGTCACTTATAAGATTATCATTAAGGTTCTCACTAATAGGTTAAACTGTATGTTGGACTGCTTGATGGTTTTGTTGAAGGAAGATTTGTTTGATGGAGTTACAACTGCTACAAATGAATTTTTCAGAACAGAAAGAAAGGAGAAGTATTGTTGAAATTAGATATTGCAAAGACCTATGAGATGTTGGATTGGAACTTCCTTTTACAAATATTGAAAGTCAAAGGTTTTGGTGATAGGTGGGTAAATTAATTGGATATCTGTGTGCCTAAATGGTGGGAAATTAATCAGCTATTACGATTAGTGGTAAATCGGGCAAATGGATAATGTCAAGAAGAGAGGTCGGACAAGGGGATCCTTTATCTCCTTGTTTATTTTGTAATTGTAGCTGATGCTTTTACACAGATGCTTAAGTTGGCAAAATCTAAGGGTTTAATTCGAGGACTGGGTCATGATGGTTCAGTGAAGAAAGTTATTAATTTACAGTAGATATGCAGATGATACATTGATTTTTTGCAAAACTGTAAGTAGTCAATTGATGATTTCAAAGTTAGCCTTGTATGGATTTGAGATGTGCTCTGGTTTAAAGATTAGTTTCTCTAAAAGCATGATTTTATTATTAGAGGAGAATGAGATTTTACAAAATCACGTGGCTTTGATGATGAACTGTCAAGTTGGGACCTTTCCTTAGAGACCTAGAAAGCTGTATAAAGAGGATTGGTCACCACTTATAGAGAAAATAGAGAGAAAATTATCTGTGTGGAAGGCTAATTCTTCATCTAGACGTGGCAGATTAATTTTGGTAAATACAGTGCTGACAGCTATGCCATTTTTCTGGATGGGTTATTGATAAGATTGACAAATGTAGGAGAGCAGAAGGGATGTGCTTATTTGCTAGCATGAGAAGAAGTTTGTAAGCCCAGACAATGTGGAGGTCTAGGGATTATTAATCTTGAAATTATGAATAATGCATTACTTGATAAGTGGATCTGGAGATAGTAGGAGAGTTCTGATGTTCAGTAGAAGCATTTAGTGTATCCATAATTATCGTCGAGATAGGAATTTGTTCTAAGGCATAAAACCACTTGGGGAGGAAAGCTAAGTTTTGGAGTGATATTTTACGTAATAGTCTTTCTTGATGTGTTCAAGGGTTAAGGTTGGCAATGGTAAAAATACTCTTTTTAGGCATGATAAATACTCTTTTTACCTTATCTTTCACATATCCATCTTTACTTGCAATTGTTGAGAGACCGAATACCACTGTGTGAGATGAGGAGTAGTACTAGTTGGGCATGGAATATTAATTTTAGTAGACAACTACAAGGTC